GAGATGAAGGGAGAGGCTCTCCTGGGTAGGTTTAGAATATATACCAAAGAACTAACCCGACCCGAAACCTAATAAGACCAAACTAAAAACCGTAAAAGAAAATAAACTGGAAAACAAACTGCCTTCTGTAGGCATTCTGCTGGACACATATCACTCGATGTCTCTCATATATAAACACCTGTTGGGTTCCCAAACACTGATAAATATATACATCTGATATATTTACATGATTATAAATCATAAGAGAATTATGATTCTTTAACTTGGATTCATTAGGAAAGCGGGAAAACATAGCATCAATGGATTCATTAGGAAGCATTTTAAATAGCTTATAATCATGCATGAGTCCACTAATCTTAGATTCTTTAACTTGGGGTGTTCCTTCATGTGTGACACATAATTTTTGCCAAATTTCGTATGCGGTTGCACACGTTGTTCGCGTGGAAAACTGTTTTCTTTTTCATTGAGATAATTGTCATCTTGGATTACAAAGATCCGGTCTTTTATAGATCCGGTTACAACTAAATCAAAGAAAATAAAGAAAAAAAAATTACAACTTTCCTTCTGTGAACAAATCACGAGCTCAAAGAAAATAAAGAAAAAAAAATTACAACTTTCCTTCTGTGAACAAATCACGAGCTCCTGTTTTGCGGTCGCTCGCTTTGGTGGGTTCTTTGCCTGCGCCGGGGTTAATCCGTGGACCACCACGCGATCTAGATCCGGTCGGATCTACACGATTATGCGGGTATTATTCCACGAAGGGAATAATAGCCGGGAGGGATTAATCCACCAAGGGAATAATCGCTCGGATCTCGAGATCTAAGACCAAGCTTAGATCTGGAGTGTGACCTCGTGTAGATCTCAGATCTGTTCTTTCTTCCTCTCGAGATCCTGCCTTTTCTGACGTGGATGGTCGCCGAGGATCAGATATGTACGTCCAAGTCTTCAAGTCTTCAAAACTCCGAGTTCACTCTTCAATCCGGCAGAGTTTCGGCTCTTGAAAGTTCCACCTCTGAAAATGAACATCTCTAGGCCTATTTATAGGCGTGGCTCGGCTAAGGCCGAGCCGCCTTGAGGTGGCTCGGCTTTGGCCGAGCCCCCGCGGGCGGTGTTTTCCGACTTTTTCGAGTCGTTTTCCGTTGTTTCCGGTTCTGTCCGTGATTCGGTTGATTGAGACTCTGATTGGTTGATCTGATTTGGCAGTAAGTTGGATTCCTGATTTGGCAGTAAATCCGCTTCTGAGTTCGAGTCCGAAATTGATCTTGATTCGATCGTGATTCGTCCGAGTTTCCCCTTGGTTGGATGGCTCGTTGATTCCTCAACTCATTAGCTTGATTCTGCACGCGGGTGGATGCATTCCGTCGCTTCTGTGCGATTCGTCGATCTCGTCGCCTCGTTGGTTCGTCGGTTTGTGCCGAGCTATGCTAGGGGACCTATAAGCAATTTTATATGCCTACAGATACCCCCTCCAAAGTATTTCAGTCTCGTTCTTTTATAGAAGAGTCTGGGATACTTTGGATATGATTGTCCCTACCTTCAGTCGGTATAACGGGACCTCGGAATGGCTTCTGTTCTTGACTCCTTCAATTCTCCAGGCTTTTCGGTGCTTTGTCGAAAGTCTGTAAGAGTTCCGGTGCTGCATTTATTGTCTGACCGTTTGTCGGAATTTTCTGAACTTGAAGTCGATTCCTTTGAGCTGACCATTGATTGTGGCGTCGAGTCTTTATGCACAACGCGTTGTCCGGCGTAGTGTGGTTGAGTTATCCTTAAGAATATTTATAAACAATATTCTCCAGGAACTTCTCAAACCAAAAATAGGGAATAGTTTATACTCATATACCTTATTGGAGTATTAAGAAGCAGTTTATACTCGTATACTTTTCGGAGTGTTTTTGTGCCTAAATGAGCTGAACCGGCTTAAAATGAGCCAAAAAAGGCAGTAAATCGGCTCAAAAAATCCTCCAACTCCTCCGAACAAATGGGAGAGGGGTGAGTGAATGATGGACTGAACCGTCGCTCGATTTGAAGTCGTTTCGATGCTCGGTTCGGCTTCAATTTGGATTTTGGTTCGAACTGGGTCCGGTCCGGTTCGGTTCGGTTTGGTTCAACCCGGTCCACCTTATATAAAGGGGGTCTTTTTCTTTTCTTTTTTCTTTACCCTAGGGCCGGCCCCCCCCTTTTTGCCTCCTTTTTGAATTTCTCTTCCCTCGAGCCTCCGTTCTCCCTCAAAACTCGATCTTCGTCTTAGATTCATCCTTCCTTTTGATCCTTGACTGAGAAATCCCTCGAAACTTCCATATTTAGACTTTCCTTCGAGCCCCTCGAGCGCGTGGTTCGAGCACTTCCAAGATCTAATTTTTGTCGGATCCTCGAGCTTCCCCTCAGGTATATCTCCATAATCTTGATCTATTTCATGTTTGATCTAGTGTATGGAATAGCGGGATCGCATATAAGGGTTGAGGGAGTGATTTGATGCCTCAAGCTCGCCTTTTTAGGGGATAAAAAAGTGATTTTTATTTCTAGATCTGACCTCTTGAATTCTTTTTCTGTAGGCCATTATGTCGCGAGTATCGAGAGGTCGTTTTCCTGCTGCATCGGTTGATGGCGCGCCTCCCTCATATGCTGGTGAGCAATTTTTTGACCTTTTTCGAAAATTTACAAATTAGTCCTCTTTTTTCTGGATATTTGCAAATTAGTCCATTTTACCCCCCGTTGTTCTCCTTGGTGAGGCAACCGGGAAAGGCCTTGGTTCTCCTTGGTGAGGATCGACGCTTTATGGAAATTTTGCAAATTAACCCTCTTCTTCTGAGAATTTTGCAATTTAGTCCTTTTACCCTATTTTGCTCTCCTTGGTGAGGCGATCGGGAAAAGCCTTGATTCTCCTTGGTGAGGATCGACGCTTTAAAGATGGGTTTTGCTTGGTCAAAACCACATCTCATAATAAAGGGGGCGTTTTGACGCTGCATTGTGCTTTATAAGGCAGGGATATATTGTCGATATACCCTATCTTATAAATGCGCAATGTGGCCAAATCGTCTCGCCCTTTATAAGGCAATGACTCTATCTTACCAATTTGTAAGATGAATTCAATTTCCTTTTATATCTGAAATTAACAAACACTTAACTGCTTGTTTTCAGTGGAATATCCTTCCGGAGCTTTTTCATCGCATGCGGTGAATGGACGTCGTGATGAGTATTATTCCACATCTGATGACTTTTCGCCCATTCCGTTCACCTCCCAGTTTGCTCCGGGCACGTCGTTGGAAGTTGTCCAAGTGGTGAGGGAAGGTGGCCATCAAGCTCTTCGCCAGCTGATCACAGATGCGCCTCTCGTGCAGGATGCCAGTTCCGTTCAGTCTCTTAGGAAGACTGACTTCTTGTTTGGAGACTCTACCAGGGATCCCGATGCAGTATTTATTGAGGCTGAGCAGTGGCTTTACCAGACTGGCAGTCGTTATATGTATTTGCCGAAGATTCCTCGACACCGTTCTTTGACTGAGCTCAGGCGCCAAGCTGTGAAGCGGGAGATGTCGTGGAGTTTGACAAAGGAACATGAGAGCGTTCACTGCGGCTATATTACTCATCAGGCAGTTCCTGGTTCGAGCCGGGATCACATTGTTGGACTACATCCCGGAGTACTGGGGCTAGATACTCCGCCTCGTAACGAGTTCCTCGCCACTGCTTCTACTTTGAGGAATCGCCTCGCTATCTTAGGACGGGAGATGCCTGCACCGCGCCACAGATTCTATGGTTGGGTCCATTCTTTGGACAGGTTTTGGTGGGCTCGTATGACGAAGTATGTCTTGAGCCGATGGAGCGAGGAGTTACATGCTTGCGGCCTTTATGCAGCCATTCGGGCCACCATGCATGGCTTGCCTACAAGCGCGAAGCATTTCTTTGCCCTATGCGAGCTTTACAATCCAGATTCCAACACTT